TGATCCAGTTTGGGGATTTTTCATGCCTCTGGCTTCTCCTCCCTTCTCCTCTCTGCCCTTTGGCCACATTATAGATCAAATTAGCATGTCTTTGCGGGGATAGACGGGGAAGGGGCAGGTAAAATTTTCATTGGTCAATTTCGGAGCTTGTTCAAGGCTCTAATACATGAGATCAGAACCGAAGGCTAACATGGAGCTTTGGATTATCAGTGGATTATATTTAATCTATAAAGACTCTCACTCCATTACTGAAGAAACTGGAGTCTGAGGGGGAAACCCACTCATGTCACACGGATGTCAGGGTTTGGTCAGAATCTCAAGCACATACATGTTAGAAGCTGGAGCTCCGAGACGGTCATCAGGGGCTGAGTGACACATAGGACGGGTCTTCTTGTGACCTTAGCAAGAGCTGAGGGAAGAGAAGGCTCTCTGTTTCTGAGGTTCCTGATGGTGGCCTATCACACTGGTGCCAGGATGGGTCCAGCAGAGTGTGAGGAAGCCAGTAGAGCAGCAGGTAGGGACCGGGAGCAGACTTGCTCAGCCTTGGAGCGGTGAGGTGCAGGCAAAGAGCTCTGTCTCCACAGCTGCCAGGCGAAAGAAGTGACTCAGGGAGACACAGGCCAATAAGGGCGAGTTCACACAGAGAAGAGACCCAAGGGACACACGGCCAAGTTGATTCCCAGTGAGGTTTTGAAAACTAACCCTCCCTCCCGGCAGCCACACCCCAACCACGCCTACACAGACATCCAAGGCAGAGGAGGCTCTGCTCCCTGGGATCTCTCCACAAACCCCTGCTCACTGCTGCTCCTGGGAGCCCAGGATGGGGGGCAGGGCCAGGAAAGGCAGAAACTCCACTGTCATTAGCATCCGGACTGTGACCACATCCCAAGATCCTAAATTAACCCTAGACGTGACCATAGTCTTTGTGTGAACTGGGCAATGTTACTCAGTGGAACAAGGGACTTAACCCATGGTGGGGAGGAAGGGGTTAATTGCCCTCCCCGGTGCCCAGTGGACTGTTTTCACTGTGAAATCCCAAACCTCAGATACCCCTGATCCTGCAGGCCGCTGGCCTCTGACCCCTGAGGGCCATGGAAGAAGAGAATTAGCCTTCAACTGGGTGCTGAAGACGAGACCCTGGGAAGAACACTAGGCCTCCAAGGACAAGCTGGTGGCAAGAAGCCACATTCAGCCAGCATTGGTGCCCCCACCTCGGCTACCCACAGCCTCCTCTCTCTCTATTGTCCGAAGAGGTAGCTCCCGTTTGGTTTCATAGAAATACCTGAGGTTTATATCTGGTCTCCCACTGGGACTTTACAGCTGGGTCTTAAACACGGAAGTGGAGGGTTACATCTGAATCTGTTTATGCTACATTGTTGCAGGGAGGTTTACATCTGGATTTCCCCCCACCCCCACCCCAAAGGGTTTCTCTGTGTAGTCCTGGCTGTCCTGGAACTCGCTCTGTAGACCAGGCTGGCTTTGAACTCACAGAGATCCACCTGCCTCTGCCTCCTGAGGGCTGGGATTAAAGTGTGTGCACCATCACATCTGGATCCACATCTGGATCTCTTGAGAGGGTTTACATCTGCATCTCAAACGTTGAGGGTGGGAGTTCCATCCCGGTCTCTTAACCCTTGGTGGGGTGGGGCGGGGTGGGGCGGGGGTATTACATACATGTGGGTCTCAAACACTGGGGGCTCACACCAGAGTCGCTCTACACCAGGGCTTTCCATCCTGATGACTGACATCCAGTGTGGTACCAGGAACACAGTCCACCCAGGCTCCGTCCATCCTCCTGGCTCCCTGCCCAGCTCCCCTCTGTTGGTTCACGGTCAGCAGGGCACCTGCGTACACAGTTCAGCAGCATCTGGGAATGGGGACCCCAGGGATGCAGCCGCGGCCTTTAGAGGGGTCAGGGACAACTGCGTGGTTCGGGAACATGCCTTGTCCGTTTAGAGGCCCACTCTCCCCTTGAAGGACACACAAAGCCCCTCACCCCAGAGTCCGGGTTGAGTTTTTCCTTGGCAGAGCCCATCCCTCTGAGGGTAGCTGGCCGAGCAATGTTGACACAGCGGCTGGCTCTGGATGCATTCCGGGAAGGCAGGCCGGAGCTGGTGAAATGAATTTTTCTCCACACTGGGCAGTGTCAGAAAAACAAACCGGGAGACATCTGCTTGGCTCGTGTGCATGTGTGGACCCTCCTCCCCATCATTCCTCCCATACTGGAAAACGCTCGTGCGTGTGTGTGTGTGTGTGTGTGTGTGTGTGTGTGTGTGTGTGTGTGTGTGTGTGTGTGTGTGTGTGTGTGTGTGTGTATTTTCAAGCACGTGAACGAATATGTGAACCTCCTTCCTCGTCGTTCCTCTCATAGTGGAAAACCAGTGTTGTCTGGTTCCTGTCTCCAGAGGCCACATGTACAGGGAAACACTTCCAGGCCACACAGCCATGACCATGTGATACTTCTGGGGGGTGGAGGGTGCGTGGAGGCTACCTCTGCTTCCTGATCCCGGTTCTTGACTGCCCCTCCTCCATCCAGTCCCTATTCTCACATAACTGCCCACCGGAAACTTCTTAAGGAGGGGCCTCTCCAGCACCCTACACCGATGCAGGGATCTGGCTGTCACATCACAGGCTGCAGCCGTGCCGGGGGGCCATCGGCACTCACTCCCCTTTTCCCTCCCAGTCTTGTGTTTTCTGTAGCAGCAGGCAGTGAGAAAGGTAACCGAGGCAGCCTGCTTCCTCAGAATACAGGGACCCTCTGTCCACCCGGCAATGGAGTCCCCTTGCATGCCCGTCCTTGAAGGGATGGATGCTTAACTGATCAAGAGAGCAATCTTGTCTCCAAGGATGAAGGAGGGAAAGTGGGGAGGCCACCCCGGCTCCCACCAGAGGTGGCCGTTGTGCAGGCTGTGAGAGGCGGGAGCTCAGACTCAGTCAGCTCCAGATTCTCCCTCAGATCCAAGTGTCTGGGACACTCCTGCTCCTCAGAGTCCCTAAGGGCTGCCCCTCCACCACAGGCTACCCCCGATGTGTTTTAAGAGTCACCCTCTGAAGAGCTGTGGGGCTTCCCTGTTTGCTTTCATTGAGTGCCTACTTTGGGCTAGACACTGTGTCAGACAGCTGCAGCCCCGTTGAGGTAGCTGTGCCAGTCAGCTACTCCTTTCTATTGAATGCAGATCGCCATAGATTTGCATGTAAATGAACAATTATATATTCATATGAATGTAGATAGGAGGGTGTGAATATTCATGGGTATGCAAATGCTCCATCTCTATGCTGAACCAACTGTGTATACTTTACCAGCAGAAACACTCATGCATTCTCCCGAATACAACTCAGTTTGCACTGCTTTTGCCTGAGGAGGAGAACTGTGTTGGGAGAGAATGAGTGGCAAACACCATATACCCACCCACACATTCTAGACCTTGAGTCTAAAGCAGTGTTTCTCAACCTCCCTAAGGTCACCATCCTTTAGTACAGTTCCTCACGTTGTGGTGACCCCAGCCATAACACTATTTTTGCTGCTACTTCATAACTGTAATTTTGCTATTTATTGTAACATAAATATCTGATATGCAGGATATCTGGTTTTCAAACCAGGTGAAAGGGTCATTTGACACCCCCCATAGGGATCCGGACCCACAGGTTGAGAACTCCTGGTCTACAGAATCCAGGCTCTCACTTGGCTAAAGCCCAGTGACCCAACAATAGCTTACCAAGGCGTTCCACCACCCCATGTTGCAATAAGGACAAGAAGCCTTAGCTGTACACACCTAGGCAGATGGGAGCCGAGGTCACCAGGACCCTTAAAGAAATGTCATATCCCTCATGTCAACAAGAAAGAAGAAGACAGACATTAAAACTCAACAGCACAGAAAAAAAAAGTGGCCAGACTCTTGGTTGCTCTTGTGCTCACAACTGAAAAGTCTCCGGTGGCTCTCCTGCCACTGGCTGTCTTGAAAACCTCAACTACCATGTCCATAAATCCCTGCACCCTGGCAATTTCATCCAAATCACTACACCAGGCCCTTAGAGGTCTCTGTCTCTATGGGGCGCTGGCCACTCGCCTGGACCAGAGGAGACCACATCTGCGTCTTCATTCTGTGTTTGTCTGCTCTGCTCTGGCTCGGGGCTCTGCCTGACTCAGCGGGAGAACTCCTGTGTCTGTCTACCTGCCAAGCTAAAGGCGCAAAGACCCCACATTCACCCTGGGTTCCAGGAACAGCAGAACCAAGCCTAACAGACCTGCCAGGGGAGGACAGCTCTCCAGGAGTCAGAGCCAAGGCCACACCCTGGAAGATCGATGAGCTCGTCCCAGAGCCACGGCTGGAAGAGTGAACAGCAGGGCCACACCTGGACCGGAGCTGCCGAGCTGCTTACCCTTTGCCCCGTTTCTTCCTCTACTTAAAGCTCATGCCAGTGCCCTGAAGATGGACCTGGGGTCACCTGGTCCCAATACAATCACGTTGCTCAAATCCCCTCTCCGCCCTATCCGTCACTCTCCCCTTTAGCTGGCAAGGGGGCCAGCCTACCTCTCAGGGGCTGCCAGAAGCCAGGCTTGTGCCCTGAGGTAAAAGCTATATTACAACAGTCATGGCCTTGCAAACAGCCCCCAGCAGAGCTCTGAGAAACACAGCGGCTGGGTTAGGTTTCGCCCCGCTGTCCTGTCTACCCACACAGGGTTACATGACTGAGGCAGATGCCGTCTTTGCCAGGTTTGTGCTCCCTGGGAGGGCATCCCATGTGGCCCTTGGGCTGCTGTTCCAAGGCAGCTGGCTCACTGCCCTCCCTTCCTTCCTCAGCAGGTGGATCAAACATTAATGAGGTACTCAGTCTCAATCCAAGAAGGCTGTAAGAGTAAGAATTTTCTCCTAATGGGTTATACGGCTAAAATAATAAGCTGCCTATCTTTTCACTTGGTGTAGAGTAATGCATTAGGGCAGAGTGGATCGCCCCCTGCCTCCTCCCCTTCCCTGAAAAAAAAAAAGAGATGACTTAAATCACATTGAAATTAATTTTTACAGTTATAAATGACGGTCAGAAGCACACAGTCCAGTGTGGCAGCTAGAAAAGCCATCAAGGACAGGGCTCACACACACACACACACACACACACACACACACACACACACACCTGCCACCATTCCACTCTTATACAACAAGGTTCCTGTCTTCAAGGTCTGGAACTTGTCCTCGTGATCCAAGATGGCAACTGGAGTCCCTGCCATCATACTGACATCCGAGAACCGAGAGTTGTAGGAGAAGGGGGAAGGGGCTTGGTCTTAGAGACTTTTGACCCACGTCTCATGGGGTCATGGAACTTCTGTTTCATGGAGCAGAATTTAGAAATGCACTCAGAAGGAGCCTCAAAGGGAGCTGGGAAGTGTAGTCTTTCATTTGGGAAAGAATGTTCCATCTAAAGCGCCGGGTCTGTTAAAGACAAAGTGAAACAAAACACACCTAAGAGTCTGTAACAATGTCTTTCCATTGTTGTTTTAAAGTGTGTTTCTTTTTAAGTTTTGTTTTACGTGTATGGGTCTTTTGCACGTATGTCTGTGCACCCTGTACCTGGTGCCTGCCCAGGTCAGAAGACGGCATCAGAGCCCTGTAACTGCAGCTGCAGACAGTTGTGAGGGGTCAAGCAGGTGCTGGGAACTAAACCTCCAGCAGCCAAGTGCTCTAAATGTCTGAGCGGTCTCTCTCCAGCCCCAGAAACTTCAGTAATAGTTGTGGTAGCTACCTTTCTTCTTGTTGTTGTAGCAAGTGTAGCACAGGCAACTTAAGGGAGACAGGGTTTTTTTTTCTGATCAGGGTTCCACAGGGAGTCCACTGTGGCCAGAGAGCCGTGGATCCAGAGCCCGCTGTCCTCCCGGCATCCACAGTAAGGAAGCAGAGAGTGCCGAGTCTCCAGCTCCCTTCTCCCCAGTGTTCCGTCCAGGCTCCCAGCCCTTGGTGGACAGGTGTGCTAATCTAGATAATCCCCACAGACACACAGAGCCTCACCTCTCAGGTAATTCTGGGTCACAGCAAGTTGGCAACTGACGTTAACAGTAACAATGACCTCCAAAATTTGGAGTTTCCCCAGGACACCTATGCCGAGGGAAAGGAAGGGTGACCCTGGTGCAGCCCGGGGAGAGCTTGCCTCCCAGCAGGCGCCCTCACGAAGTTCTGCCATCCCTTCAGACAACCACGCAGGACGGGACAGAGCCGAGAGAACAGACAGCATCCTTGACCAGGACCCTCTTAGCTATAACACCTCTTGCCCTCTATTTAAACCTAAACCTCGCTCACGTTAGGGCCTCGAGGTGGACTCTTCCCAATGTGGCCACACTAAGTGACTAATTTTTCTCTGTTCCTTCCTCTTTCTTGTCTTTGACTGGTGTATTGGACATGGTAGCCACGCCTAGCTTGTAAGGACTGTCAGGATGGAGGCTCATGTTTTTGCGGAAGCTTCACCCCAGCCCCTGGCACCCATATACCCAGAGTCTGGGATGTTATCGTGGAGGGTCCACCCAGCCCCCCCTCCCCTATCTCCCCCAAACCCTGCTGCATCTCAGAAAGTCCCCCTAATGATGACCCCTCCCCAGAGATGCTCAGGACCACTCCCACAGGGTGTGTAAACTGTCCCCCAGAAAACAGACCTGTGGTTTTCCGGTCTCTCTTTCCCCGCTCCTGTCTGGGGGCTGGAGCGCCATTGGGAGAGTTGTATCCATTAAATGTGGGCTTTTTCTAATTCCTTTTATTTGATTTGGGCTGCTGCATCAGCAGAGAGGCTTATCAGGGCGTAGAGATTTCTCTGCTCACACCCTGAAATCCCCTGTGGTACAAGTCCCACGGCCTGTGGGTGGGAGAGTAAGACACCCTGAGCTCCCAGCAGCCACGTTCCCTTCTCCAACCCCAAACTTCAATCTCTTCACCTTTCAAAAAGCAGTTTGGTCTTAAAACTCTGAGAAAAGCTCCAAAGCTCCGCTCAGAGCGGGAGCAGCAGCCTCCGGGGCGTGTCCTATGGGTAGCCCTGGAAGCAGAGCCTGAGAGACCAATAGAGATGACGCAGCAGAGGTCAAACACTTCAGAGCACGGGTCAGTTTAGCCTTGGTCTGCGCCCGAGAGGACTCTGGGGCATCTGCCCCATCGCAGAGGCGGTCAGGGGCTTCGCGCCGCCACTTTGTCATCTTCGGGGGCCTCTTTGCATGGGGGTGTGCTTCCCGAGTGTGGTGGCCTCCGAGGGACTCACAGAGGAGAGGGTTTGCTGTGTCTCACAGCAGCAGGAGGAGGGGTGACCCACACACCCTACTCCCACGCCTGGGAAGGGCCGGCACTAACTCTCCAGGGTCTCTGGGCAGAAGAGGCTGCTGGGAAGAGCAGCTCCGATTTCCACTAGTCCAACTCCATCCTGAGTGCGCATCTCTTGGGCACTGCTCCAGGTGTCGGAATGCCACGCTGGCTTTCTCCAACAGGGTCTGGCTGTGGTGCTGCTCTCCCGGACAGCTGGATCCCAGCTCCCATGAAGTCTTACCTGGGGAAGCGCTAACAGCCGGCTCTACACGTGATCAGCTTCCTGGTTGGGGAACGGCTGAGGAGCCTCTCACACAGACCTGCACACGGTGGTTTGGGGTGCCTGCATCACGTCCAAGAGAGATGTAGGAGCCACAGTAGTACCATCCACCGGCCAGTCTGGCTCTCCCTTTAGGAGTTTCTAGCCAGGAGGCCTGCTGTGCAGCCAACTGTAGCCTCCGTGTGTTCCAGCAAATTCCACCCAGCAGGTGTTGAGGGAGCATTTGCTGGACACACAGTCCTTTGCCTTCAAAGCTTCCTGTGCCATCCTTACAGCTCCATCTCTCTGTGAAGCTCCCACCCCTGTGAGATTATTCCCAAAGGTCCAGACACGTACACATGGCCAGCCTGGGACCTAACCCTAACCCTAAGTCGTTTGCTGTCGGTCCAGCTGGAGCTCTCGTCTGTGCCCCACACACCAGGGCACCTCTGCATCTGTGCTTCCCTGGGTTCCTCTCTGGCTTCCACTGGATAAGCACACTGCACTCTGCTGTAAACGATGGATTTAGGCTGGAGTGAGTGGACTTGCTCATGGTGCCATGCCCCTCCGGGACCTCACTGTGGCAGAGCTGCTCCCTGCCCTGTGGAGGGCAGACCCAGACTGGCAGACAGCCATCGGCAGCATAGGACAGAGAAGGTACAACCTCAAGGCTTCCCATGCTGGAGCTTGGCCACCGTTGACACACATGGAGACACAGCCTCAACCACACCAGCCTTTCCTGAAGTGTCTCTTGGTTACTGAGGCCCAGCCCCCTCTCTCTGGTCCCTGTGCTGTTTCTACTGGTACATAACAATGCAGCAGTCATGCTAACAGTCACCTGGTCCAGAACATCCCTTCCATTTCCAGGTCTTACTATTGCCCCTAAGCATGGCGCCCCCAACCCACTATTAAGGGAGAAGCAGTCGGTAAGACACTGGTAGGAACACAGAGACGTGTCCCCAGGGTTCCTGATGTATTTGAATAAAGCCAGGCCACCAAAGGCTGCTCTCATCCTCACCATCCCTGAGCTGGCCTTCACCAAATCACCCCATAGCCCCATCTGTGACTAGAATAATCCTTAAGGGATGTCTGTCAGCGGCAGATGATAAAGGCTCCGCTCCCCCCAGACCCTGTCTGGGGGAGGGGACATGCAAGAGGAGTGGGGGGGATCCTCAGGTCTAGAGTGTGACTCTTCTTTCCTGATCTGCTGACCCACAGCAGGGAGCCAGCCCTGGCAGAGACTAGCCATGAAAAAGAATGCTCAGCCAGAGGCTTGCTGGGTCTGGTAGGGCACCAGCTTTACCTGCTGTAGCTGCAGTGAAAACCACGGAGTCTGTAGCTGCGCGGGGCTTAGAAGCAGCACGATGGTCTGGGGTGTTTGGATGGTTGGTTTATTGTTGTTGTTATGACTTAGTTTGTTTGGGTTTGGTGTAACACCCAGGTCTGAAATTCTACGATTCTTTGCCACAGAACTGGGTTATAAATTATCCCATTAGACTGAAAATAGCCCCTAAATCACACCCTAAGAGTAAGAGCCTGGAGCCCAGACCCAAGCGCAGCTGGCGAGAGCAATTTTCAGCTAAGAAAAAAAAAAGTCTAGTCACACAAAATTGAAGAAACACCAGCTCTGCCCACCACAGGTGACGCCCAGATAA